AAAACGGAGTGTGGTATTTTGAAACTACATTTACCTATTAAACCAGAGTTCTTCTCGCATATAGAACGGGGGCTTTGAGCCAAGAATAACCCGTATTAACAGGACAAAATTAATTCCGAATATTAGCAGTATCATCTTATTCGCTCCGATCGTTTCTCTTAAAATCTAAAAAAGTATAATATTATCCAAAATCCGGTGAGTAATGTTTAATTAGTGTTCCAGACAAAGCGATATTTGAACAAGAAATATGCAATGTAAAATATCATTGTAAATAACGCGCATGTAATGTGAAAACAAAAATATATAACGAATATGCCACCTGTCCACACACTCCCGATAGTATAATTCAATCATGAATGAGCGTGCCCACGCCACAAGTTACCTGTACTTGAACACACAACATACATTAGTGTCCATCGTGAAAGGTAATAAAATCCGTTATGCCTCGAGGTACTTCAGCACGTTAGGTTGGTGCTTGACATAAAATAATTTTCTAGAGGTAATGTCATGACCTATTATGCGAAGAATTACGTCACATTCGGTGATTGTCTAATTGACATATATACCATAATATTTACTCACGAGTCCCCAGACTGTTCATTACATTTTGTTAATACTGCTAGCCCACAGATGTCCTATCAGCAAACACTTCAATGACACATTTATATTCCCGTACAAACACCTGGTGTTTTATTACGAAAAAGTGAATTTTTATGTGTTTACAATATGCTTAATTTTCATCAAAAAGTGTTTTATTAACTCCCTAAAACACTTTTCTAAAAAATACTAAATACTAGAAAATGCAAGTGTTTTATTATATAATACACATGTTTTTAATTACAAAAGGGTTTTAATGAAAGACACTAAAGTGCTTCCAAGATTTACAATGTAGGGTAAACAAACGACGATCTTTATGCAAATGCATCAGGACGCTCTACGATGTTTTAATTACTGGCTTAACAAATACAATTACTGTATTGCTTTTAACATTTGGAAGCTGTGCAATAAATGCACGGGGTAAACAATATATCGTAAGGTTCGGTACAATAGGAAAGTACTACACTCACTTGACAGAACTGTTATTATTTGTCACTCATAACATATTGTCGACAAATATGATTGATCTATACAAAGAAAATAAACATTTGACATGTTGGCTAAGTGACGCAATACATACTATGGAATTGGAATATATCTGGTAGTTTATGATTTTGGCGAACACCCGTATGCGGTATGACGATACGATGTACATATTTTGGACATCATCACAGAAGGTATAATGAACCCATGTTCAGTGGCGATTGTTTCCCGATTTTGAGGGCGACCCAAAACTACCTGGCGTCGGACGGTAGAAAACAAAATGACAGGAATGGAGATTCTTCGTTTATGCCCTATACATGTCACTAGGCTTTATAATGGGCAGTAAGTAAATAAGTAAGTAAGTACATTAACAATGCACCCACAGTTTGTAAGATTCGTCAATCGGCATTCTGTGTTTGGTGTTATACACGAAATGACAATCAGCCCCGTGGTGAATTGAAATTGAAATGTACATTGAATGGGTTCATTAGAATTAATCAGAAACGACGCCAAATGTTGTGAGAATCGCTAAACAGAATTTACAGTGCATGTCGCTGATTCTAATGATTTGTGTCAAATCAGACATGTTTGGCTATCACGTTAATATTTGAACTTTAAAACTGACTACTTTCCACTTTAGTACTTACATCTGATTTGACGGGGTTCCGAAGGTTTTAAGGCCTCTGGTAGTAGGTAATTAGTTTCCGTAGTAATGTTCACATGTTGAACATTTTGGCCGAAATCTGCTGCGCGATTTTAATGCAGTCGTCATAATGCAAATAACCATATTTTGTTCTATGTTTGTTTTTGAACAATACGTTTTTGCCGTGAAGTTGTGAACATTTGCAAATATTTCCTCAAATGCTTCAAAAAAGAAAAATCTGACAACACAATATATTCCCGAGATTGTATTTCTTCAAAGCCCGTGTTAATATTACGAGGATACTGCAAAGTATGCACAGAGACAGTAAAGCGGATGTATCGACCGACGCGTAGCAGGAAATACATCATGGGAATGCTGAAATCCAAAAAGTTTAGAACAGAATCAACGAACTTTTTTTGTGTGGAGTCCGGTCAAACCCTGATGGCAGCAATGTTTGTTTTTTATTATTAGTTGACGCTTACGCGCGTAATCATTCCATATTTGGAATTCCCATTTCCTCATACGGTATGATGAAAACACCCCGTAAAATACCGCAAAATTACGGCACGCTGTAAATTATGGCGTTACGGCGACAG